TGCTTCCGACCGACGGGACAACCCAGCCGGCCCCCTGGGGGCTCTCCTGGCTCCTGCAGCATCTGCCCACCCACCCCGCCCGGGACTATGGGGCCACCATGCATGGAGCCTCCAAGAATCCAATGTGACGCCCTACGGCATCCCTCAGACCTTGTCCGAGGTCAGATGGCGGCACTTCCGCCCCTGCCCGAGGAGGGCCTCGGCCTCCCCGCCGCGAGTCTGCGGTGCTGTCCACGGACTGCACGCTGCATGACGCCTCCACTTCCCCCGTGGCTGTCCCCTTTGCCTTGGTTCAGCCTCCTGCAGGGCCCTTGGGGTGATACACAGACCCCAATGCACCATCCCCCCGTGACAGTCCTGGACACTGAGCTGACCTCTCCTCCACGTGGGGACAGCCCAGCCTTCCAGTCTGGCTGCCCAGGACACCAGGTGGGGTCACAGTGCTGAGCAGGTCACAGGCCCAGCCTGGTCCCAGCACCATGCAAGGAGAGCCGTGGACACTCCCCCGTCCAAGCTCCAGGACCCCAGAGTGTCACTGCCCATGAGGCTGTGGATGCGGGTGCCTCTCGCATGCCACTCACTGTCAGCTACATGGGGGTGGCACGCCTTGCTCACGAAGTCCTCTCCTGGACTTCGTGTGGAAACACAGTGTCGGCGCGCGTCTGTCTGTCCTCGCCCTGGGTGCATGCCCGTTGGACCTGTCCTTGGGTCTTAGGCACGGAGCAGAGCTGCCGTCCCTGTGGCCAGGCCAGGTGGGGACCCTGCTCAGCCGGGCTCCCTTGTCCACGTCAGTGCTCACTCTCCAGCCGCCCTGGGCTCCTGGGAGCTCAAGACGCCCCCAGAACCTCCTCTGCTTTGCGTGTCCGCTCCAAGCCTCCAGGGATCTTTAGAGACCTTTGCACAGGGCCTGGCTCTCTCATCCTTGTCTTTGGCGCCTCTGTTTTAGACTTTGGCCCTCGGCTCTTGTCGTCCAGTGCGGTGTTTGCGGGTCCACGTGGCAGACCCCGTCCCTGCCGCTGTCCGGGGCCCGTGGAGCCAAGAAGAGCCCACAGGGCAGGGGTGGCACCCTCGCTGGCCCCAGACATGTCGCGAATGCTCGTGCCGCTGGGCATAGCTCCCAGTCCTGCCCCGGCCATCGGGCTCTGCCGCTGCCGCTGGCCTTGGGGGCCCAGCCAGGGACCCCGTGGAGCTGTGCGGCCTATGCCCGGCACATGTCCACCGGCCTGCCCGGGCCCTGTGCTCCCCGCTCCCGGTGCTGCCCGTGCTGTGTGCTTGGAGTTGCCGCAGGGTCTGCCCCACGCGCCAGCACCCCGACCCTCTGCGGCCGGCGGTACAGCTGTGTCGCCAGCTGCACGGCCCACGCGGACTGCTCGTGCAGCTGACCTGCGCCCCAGACTCCGACTCCTTGCGGAGATGTCGCCTGCTCCCGCGAAGGCCGCTTTGCACTCGAGCACGCGTGTTGGCGCTGCGTGCTCCGGGAGGCCTGCTGGAGTGTGCGACTCCCGGAGTCGGGACACGTTGGTGCCCTGCACAGAAGTAGCGCTGTGAGGCCGGCGTCGTCTTCATCCCTGCTCGGGGGAGCTGCTCCCCGGGGCAGCAGGGCGCGGAAACGGACACCCCGCCCCAGGCCGAGCCGCGCTGGGATTCCCACACGCGCACGCTGGCTGCTCTCGTGGTCTCTGTGGTGTCCCGCCACGTGACAGGCACGCTGGCCACGATTCCTGCACAACCTGCTGAGCCCCCTCCTCGTCCGGGTGTGGCCAGCTCCCAACTGTGTCCTGTGTGTTGGAAAAGAATGTCCCACAGCTGTGCCGGACCGCAATCTATTTATGTCCCGGAGACTAAGCCTGCAGATGTCCCGTGTCCACAGCCTGCTCTGTTTTTTGTTGTCCAGTCAGCTCTGTCACGGGTGCCTAAGGTGTGGGCCAGGCCCGGGCACCGATGCCGGTCGGGGTGGGTTCCCATGGGAGAGGTGCTGCGTTGTCTGTGGAGGGTGCTCTGGTGACCTGCGGTGGCAGTTCCTGAGAAGGGGCTGTGGGGGGACGGGGGGGGCATCACCAGTGTGTTGGAAGGGACACGTGGCACCGATCCAGGGTGGCCTTCCTGCCGTGGCAGCGCGTCCGGCCAGGGCCGCTGTCTCAGAGCAGCAGAAAAACGTCGTGCGGCTGAGTGTCCGTCAGACCCCAGCTGCCAGCCCTGTGGCTGCCCTGTCCCGGCACAGAGCTCCGTCCCCCTGCCCCCGTCGGGCTGCCTCGTGGGGCAGGGGGCCTTCTCAGCTCCTCGCCCGTGTCCCCCATACGTCTGCGTTTCCCGCTCTGGTATTCTCTCTGTGCCCAGACGGGATGTAGGGTTCCTGTGCCCAGACTGTCCAGGCTGCACCCTCTTCCTGCATGGCCCGGCCCTCCTGCCTGGAGCACGGCAGACCCCTGAGCCTGGCGCCTGGCGTCCGTCCACCTGTCTGCTGGCCCTCCTGTCCCTCCCCCCTCACGTGTCCGTCAGCAGGCACAGGCTTCTCATCAGAGCCCTTGGTCACAGCTTTGTGAGCAAGCGGCATGCGATCGGGTGGGCTTTATCGGAGCTCCCGGCACGGCTGTGGACCGTCACCGGAGAAAGCAGACATAAAAAGTGACCACAAACGTAAAACTGCGGCACGGTAACAAACACCACAAACCACATAAAAAAGACAAGCGGAGCCTGGGGACAAAGGGGCAGCCTGTCCAAGCCAGAAACGTATGGTGCCCTGGACACTGGTAGGAAAAAGCAGGATAGTGGGCCAAGCACGTGAGCGGAGCGTTCGCAGGGAGGGAGTGTCGGGGGGTGCACACGAGAAGGCACTGGAGCCGAGTCCTCGGGACCGAGGGGCGCAGAGAGGGGACCGGCGCTTGGCTGCGCATGTCGGGCTGGCCCCGTCCCCACGTGGCACGCATCCACCTGCGGCCTGAGCGCGAGGGGACACCGCGGTCGTGGTGGGAAGGCGGCGTGAGCACTGTGACGGGTGTGGCTGTGGGTGAGCCCTCGGGCGCTCCGGGCGCGTGGGAGCCCAGCCTGCCGGGGCTCTGCGGGGCTTCTGCCGCCGCTCACGGTTCAGCGGCGCTCAGCACGCGCGCGGCCTGTGTGGGGACGGCTCACCGCTGGGACCGTGATCCGTGCAGAGCCGTCGCTTTGTGGCCACGGGGCAGGAGCTGCCCCTACGTGCCCGCAGTGCCCGGCACTGGGCATGAGTGACGCCGGTCATGGCGCTGGGACAGGATGTCCTCCCAGGACAGCCCCCCCGGGCCGCCTGGGCGTGGCAGACTCAGCAGCTCGCTGCGGCCCGCTCGGGTTTGGCGCCGTCGCCCAGCGGGGCCAGGCTGTGTGACGGCCGCTGGGGGAGCTTGGACCCGCCCTGCTGTTCCCAGGAGCTTCCTGCTGTCCGAGGGACACACAGGACCGTCCGTGCCTGAGCTGGACCGAGCACCGTCCCACAGCCTGTCATTGGGTCCCCCGTGCAGCCCGGGGAAGTGAGGTCCTGTCCCAGGTCGCAGGAGCGCAGAGCAGAGCCCCCTGCACTTGCCTGGGGGCGGGGGCACTGGGGTGGCCCGCACCCTGGCATCTGAGGGTGTGAGGCGGCGGTGGGTGCTCCGCTCGGTGACAGACACTCGGCACGGGGCTCGGGGCGGTGCGAGCGCCCCGGGCTCCACAGAGGCCCGTGTGGGCCTCGGCTCCGTCAGGCCTGCCGTGCGCCGTGTCCGTGCAGGTGCGGCCCAGCCACGCCCCTGCCTGCCACTCAGCGCCTCCCCTGGTGTCTCTGTGACTCCCGCACACCCGGGGCTGCGGGTCCCGCGTGGCCCTGTGTGGCCATGTGCCTTGACACTCACACACCGTGTGCTAAGAGGTCTCTGTCGCGCGCATGTCCCCCCATGGTCCACCTTGTGAGTTGACGCCAGCCCCGTGTGTCCCCGTGGCCTCGGTCATTCGTTTTTCCCGCGTCACGGCCAGGACCCCTGGCCGTCCCTGCAGCCTCAGGCTGTGGCTTCATGTCCCTAGCTGCACAGAGCGTGGGGCGAGATGGACGGGGCGTCCACAGACGAGGCCGTGCCACCCCGTCGCCGCCGGTCAGCGATGCCCAGACGCATGCTGTGCAGTCCATGAGCCGCGACGTAGGGCAGCCGCTTGTGGACGGAGAAGTCCGCTGGGTCCACAGAGACAGACCTTGTCCTGCCCCCAGGACACTGTGCCGTGCAGGGCTGGGAACAGCGAGGCTCACTGAGCACAACCGCAGAGCCTCGGCCCGTCCCCGCCTCGTGGTGCCCCCAGCCCGCCCGGTGCCAGCTCCTGGGTGACCCCCAGCAGGCGTTTCTCAGCCGTCCTGAGCAGGGGCTCCGGGTGGGGTAGAAGCACTTGCGTCCACAGCACCAGCTGCCCCGTCTGCACAGTGCACTGTGACGTCCGGGCGCCAGGGGATCTCACGACTCAGCCAGATGTTGTGACGTCGTCAGCTTTGGATCTGGGCAGCTCTGGCCACACACTGACCGTTGTATGCTCCCTCCCATGTCCGGGCAACAGGAGGACCACAGGGCTGCGGTCCGTTCTGGGCGGGCCGCCCGCAGTGTGGGGAGGCGCACACGTGCCCAGCCTCTGGGACATGTGGGTAGCAGCGAGGAACACAGCCGTGCGTTCCAGGCGGGAGGGCCCTGTCCCCGCTGGGAGCTTCGGCTGTCCATGGCCCACCTGAGGGGACTCTGAGCTCCCAGGGGACTGCGGGGCACGTCCTCCCCAAGGCCCAGGCTGGGGCCCCACGCGAGGCACGGTGGCGTGAGGCCCAGCAGTCGCAGGTGGTAGCCTCCCCTTATGGCGGCTGTCACTGGAGTCGGCCTGCGGGGCTGCGGGACGTCTCTGAGCAAAGTCAGGTCAGGCGGGCTCGGTGTGGCCCCCACCACACCACGTCTGTCCCTTAGCCCTAGCGTGAGAGGCGCGTCAGCCTCCCTGGTTCTAACGTGGCTGTCGCCTGCTCGTTTCAGGTCCAGGCGAAGAAGGAGGAGCCGCTGCCGCCCGCCAGCAGCCAGAGCATTCCGGCCTTCTACTTCCCCCGAGGCCGGCCGCAGGGCACGGCGCATGTGGAGGCCGCCATCGCCACCGTCGAGAGGACCTTCGCGCAGTTCCCGCATGAGCGGGCCACCATGGAGGACATGGGCCGAGTGGCCAGGGTGCGTGCGTCACACACGGCTCGTGTGTCCCGCGCTTGTGTCAGGCGGAAGCTCGCCAGAGCGTTCGCTGCAGCCGCGAACACCGAGCACGTGCAGCAGCTGCCATTAGCCTTGTCCCGGACGCTGAGGACCGCTGAGGGACGTGGCCCCACTGTCCCCCCCTTCCCCTGGGCGCACGCGGCTCGTGTGTCCCGCGCTTGCGTCAGGCGGAAGCTCACCCGAGCAATCGCTGCAGCCGTGAACACCGCGCATGCGCAGCAGCTGCCATGAGCCTTGTCCCGGACGCTGAGGACCGCTGAGGGACGTGGCCCCACTGTCCCCCCCCTTCCCCTGGGCGTGGCGGTGTGGACGGGGCACAGCCTGTCTCTGCACCTCGTGACCCGCGTCTTGCCATCGGGCGTGGCGTCGGGCCCTGAG